TTGGTTCCACTTGTGCAGATGAAGCCAAGACTTGTGAAAAAAAATTGTTTGGTTGTGCCGACATGGTAACATTGAAGCCAAGACTTGTGAAAAAAATTGTTTGGTTGTGCCGACATGGTAACATAATCACCTGCAACATGAAACCCAACTTATTTGCCACATCCATATGAAACAAATTGTGAATATCATTTGYAGTCCTGAGAGATAAGACGTGAGCTTAATAATGCTTACATTGTCAAGCACAGCTCCTGGATCCCTCTGTGTCCATGTAAGCCACTTTTCCATTCCCTCCTTTCATGTTTGTAGGCAGCTGCATAACATAAATACAGAAATGAATACCACTGGCAATGACAGACAGAGAACCTCAATGTTTATATGATGAATGAAAGAAACCAACCTGCGTAGTAACACAAAGGGTATGTGCTAGTTGAGTTTTCCTAGACCTGAAGTGAAAACAAACTCAATTAGAATACAATTAATTCCTGACTAGCAGGAAACTTAAAGAGTTAGGCTCTGCTCTCACCTAAATTCCCCAAAAACCTCAGTGATGGCAGATAGTAAAAGCAAAAGGTTGTATACCTCCTAAGAGATCATCAAGAGCTTGGCAACCCATAGTGATTTTCACAACTGATTATCTCTATAAACAAAAACAATTTGTAGGTTTCAGTATCCAAAATGAAATGTTAAATAAGCCATCAAAATTTCACAAATCTATTTGCGGAAACAAGCAACAAGACTTAGTTGGAAGACAGACATCTAAACCTTAGTAAAATCAATGAATCTAACCTTTAGAACAGCATCACTTCCAGTCATATATCCAAAATTAACATGCAGATTTATAAAAAAATTTAACAAGTAAAAAGATACAACAGATTCACATTAAATCTTCTTAAAACACACAACATAGAACATTCCGAATTGAAATTGAAATATGATACAAACACAGAAATCACTTCTTAAAGCACACATGAAATCACTTCCTCTTAGACAACATTTCTGTGAGAAGMATGTCCTTGAAAGCTTCTTTTTTCTCTGAAAGTTCTTTCTTTGCAAGGAGATTGTCTAGTAGTCCCATCATGGACAGCTCTTTTTGCATATTCATGTCCTTCTCTTTTAAAGAGAACATACTCTGAAATCACTCCATCTTCTTGCTGTCATCCATTATCATCTTACCTTTCC